CGACGAGCCGGAGCTGATGCCCAAGACGCCGTCGCAGAAGAACCGGCAGCGGAGGAAGCGCCTCTCGGCCCTGCAAGATGAGAACCGGGAGCTGGGCAGGAAGAGGTAGGCCCGCGCGGAGGGGCTGGAGGCCGGGAGCCGGGGAAGGGCCGCTGGGGAGGGGCGGATCGGTGGGCGGTGAAGTACAGGAGTTTCCCTCAGCGCCTGAGGACGGGCGCGAGATCACGGGAGGCTGAAAAAATCTGCTGCAAAAGGTGGCCCGAAGATAATCCCCTCCCCACAGGGGATGTGCTCGCGTTAAAGGTCCGCCCGGCGCCTGAGCACCGCGGTTCTTCTGAAAAGCGCTGCTGTTTGTCACTCGCTTCTGTTTTACATCCCCGTGTTTCTTCTTTCTCTCGTTGTCTCTTCTACTCTAAAGCGATTATGTTCGTGCGTTACTTGCTGTAGCTCTGTGTATACTGAGCTCTTGGGGGGGGCTCGTCCTAGCTGTTTTAGCTTTGTTCCTCTGCATGTTCCCGTTCACGTGTGGAAGAGCTTCGAGCCACGCACTGTCTCCAGCTCAGGCTTACAGAACAGCAGTGAGCTATCGCACAGGGGCCTCATGGATAAGTATGTAGACATGTTCTTTCTGCTTACTGTGTTTTCAGTCAGGGATCTGCAAACGGACTGTTTTGGTAGGAATTCTGGTCTATTCCTGAATCTAGTCCCAGTCTAATGCAGTGTTTCTATTGCTAGATTATCTAGAAGGAGGAATAGCAGTCTCAAACTGGTACCCGCCATGCGATATTCTCAACGAGTCCGAAATAAAGATAACCTGGAACTAATCAGTGCTGAGGTCAAACAAGTCTCTCCACCTCAACGTGTGACAAGATCCCAAGCTGCAACATCTGCTAAAAGCTCAGAGACCCTTCCAGTCCAGCAAGTAGAAGGGAAGGTTCCCTTAGTAGAAATTGATGTCAGTGATTACATTAGTGCTGAGCTACACCTCCAGAAGAGTGTATCTAAACCAGCAGAGAAGCTCTCCACGACCATCCTTTTGAGCTCAGGTGATGGTTCTCCCAAAGAAAGCAGGGATGCCAAATTGCTGCCTGTGCCTGCAGCCTCAGAGCTGATGGTCCCTCATACCCCTGAGGTAAACGATGCAGGAGAAAGTGAGGCTGCATCTAAGCTGCAGATGGTGAAGGCAGCTAATACTACAGTCGTTTTAAGCGATGAGTCTGGGCCGGAGGACGTAGATGACTCTGCTCAGGTACAAGAGGGCTCTGATAAGGAGCCTTTCCAGCGCATAAGACATAGCCCAGGGACTCCGAAAGGCTCTAGGCTGAGCCGTCGCTCAGTGCGCAGAAGCCTGATGGGTAAAAATTCCATGACTCGCAGAACCTCCTTGGCAGAGAAATACTCGCTAGCCAGCAAGAGGGAAAGTATGATCCGGAAATCTGTCACCAGGACAATGGTCAAGAGGAAGGCAGCGCAAAAGTCATCTGTGTCCTCCAGTCACATGGATGGTAAGCTTGAATGTCACCAAATGAGTTTGCTTGACACCATTCCTGCTTGTTTTCTTGATCTACTGCTTTTTGCTGCTGAAGGAAAACAACGTTATGGGGCTGGTTTTTCAGTTTGGGTGCAGCAGCTGATCTTCCCAGGCTAGAGAAGATGCAATTAAGCCTGGATGCTCTAATTGGCTTTCTAGAGACCTGTGTGAATAGAGAAACCCAGGTAACTGTGCTAGCTTGTGGCCTGTGAATTCAGCATTGTAAATTAACTTTGAGAACAGCCTTAATGCCTTCTGAGTTCCTGTGGCGGTAGCTTGCAAAGCTAAGGAGGAAGCTGGCGAACGAACAGGGTCTGCTCCTGCTGGCGGCTGCTTAAGAGGATTATGGGATCTCACAAAGGCCTGCATATGTTCTGAGTAATGAGGTAGCTATCACAAATTCACTGCTCTTTAAACAGAATCTGGCTGCTAGTCCTAGAGCTTCTCTTTTGAGAAGGGAATTTTGAGGCTGAACTTTGTAAATTTATTAAAAGTCTTCCAAACTTTTACAGTTTGCAATAGAGGCAAGTTTCAGTGAAAGACAAACTGATTTCAATGTTCTTCCATGCTACTGGAATGCAAGCATTGGATTTAGTGCAGGAGAATCATGTGATGGCTATGACCTCTTTTTTTCCTCAAGGTAAGGGAAAGAAGTGGCTAGTAAGTGGTGGACTAGTAAATGGCTCCTGAAATGCAAATGATGCAAGAGAACCTCTTCCACACAATTTGATGGTGAGGAGAGATTGGCTCTTTTGCACAGCATACTACTTTGAAGGGAGAACTAATACAGCCAAAATAATGCTACTATAATGGGTTCATCCGCAGGGTTCTAGCTGTGTGGGATTTGTGCTGTATAAACGTGACTTTTCTTGAAGAGTTATCAATTTTTGCTGTGGAAGGATATATTTGGAGAAGCACTTCAGTGTCTTTTTTCCATACCAATTTAACTGTCCTAGTTGAATGTTTTTCCAGAACCAGAGCACTGCAGTCCCCAGTACAGGGTTCCTTGTGCTTGTAACAGAGTAGTGTGGAGTGTGGTGTAAGTTTAAGTGCAGTTTTGAGGGCTCCTTCAGAAAAAAATGAAACTGTAGGGAAGGCTTTTCATCTGTTACTTTGAAGAGGAGGCAGAGAAGTAGCTTTATCTACCCAGTTTAAGTGATCAGTCTGTATTGTCCAGACCTGGATTACCTGGGAGGTTTAAGGAAGGCTTTATTTCTTCCCTCTTCACTAGTTGACATGGTTGTTCTGCCTCGTCAAAATTTCCAGGTGTAAGGAGAGGAACTGAGATGTTTCAGGCAGCTCCAGTTGAGCTCATTAATGCTTGAAAGCCCAAAGCACCTTGATCGACTGCAGTGTCTGCTGTGTCTCCAATGCATCAGATCTTGCTCTGGATATGCGTACGGCATGTTTGTTTGTGCTTCCTTCGGTAACATCTGCAATGGAAGTATGGGAGCAGACTGTACGCTCTGCCTGTGCACAGTCTGCCCTTGTGTACTCCGCTCAGGCTGAGGCTGCATTACCTTCTTAATTATTAACAGCAGTTTCCGGCTGTGCTGGTGCTTAAAAGCTAGCTACCACTGAGCCAGCGGGAGTGCTTAGCAGGAAGCAGCACTCTGACTGTAAATAATGCTGGGTTTAACTACTGCTAATATCTGGACATGGCCCTGCAAAATGAGTCTGAGCCCAAACCTAGTCACTCCTAATGTAAGCTCATTGAATACCACTTTGAACTCATCTATAATTGAAAACATCTGCTTTCTTCTATTAAAATTGCAGGCAGCATTTTTTCTAGTGCTACTTAGGTATATTCAGCTGCCCTTACTTGTAGCAGCATGCGTTTGAATTGCAGGCAGTGACCCAGGAGGCAGAGAAAATGCTTCCACAACAGTCTTGAGTGAACTTCGCTCCTACAAAGAGTCTTGGCCCACACCTGCGTGTTACAGCTCTGGCACTTTTTTCTTTTCCTGCAGTCTGCAGCTCTGGAGAGGTGCCAGAGGATGAAGAAACAGTTGACAAAACTGGGTGAGACTACTTTAAGATATTTATTTATACTTAGTATAAATAAATTATTATTACATTATTACATATCATTGTTGTTGTTATTATTATTATTATTATTATTTATAGTGGCGTTCTTGGTATAAAATGCACTGCTTGCAGATAACAAGTGGCTTCCCAGTTTCCTTATACTATTACACATGGCTGCCTTTTTTATTTTTTTTTTCCAGGCCTCCTCCTGGACCTTGTACCCCCTCGAAGTTGGTAAGATTTGAGCAGAGATTAAAAACATTTGTGTGGACTTGTGAGCAAAACATGTTGAATACATCTCTCATTTGTTATTGGGTAATTAGGGAGCTCTGGCCACAGATTGCCACACTCGGGCAACCTGGTGCATAGCACTTGAACAAAGAAGGCATAGAGCCCTTGGCTCGCGTATGTGCATGAGCCTATATAATAACCTTCTTACAAGTCAGGGAACTTTTTTCAGTTGGACAGAGTTTGTACTTTATAACTGTTTCTATATTTTTAAAACTTCTCTTGACCTTTCTGTTAGTCCTGCAGATTATTCAAAGCTTGTCAGTTTGTCTTAAGGCAACCACAGAAATTTGTAAATATCTTTCAGGTCAAAACATAGCCTTCCACAATTCTCACTGCCCTCCTGAGGAAGAAATCTCAGGATTATGTCAGTGTTTTGTCCAGAGTAATTCTCAATAAGCAAAGGCTGAATCAATGGAGTAGAGCTCTGTGGCCTTAAGCACTTCTCTAAGCAAGGACAGGCTTATACACGCTTTTATGGCTTTGCTTATCAGTAGATCTGCAAAAGTTCAAATAAAATCATTTTTTCTAGTGTCCCTGGGTTTTTAGCTTGCCTGAGTAACAATTGTAGAGAAGCTTAAATGGAAAACAGGGACAAGAGAAAAATGAACAGACTCCTTTGCAGATCTGTGAATAAGGACTTGTATCCTTTGTTTCTGTACCCTGATGAATTGATAAGTACAGCCTAGTCCATGTAGTCTATTTGATCTATCCTTGATCCTCATCCTTTATTTCTATGCCACTGCTGTTGGGAGTGGGACCTTGTAGCCTGTCCCATTCTTAGCCTACGTCACCAGGTTACATCTAGCTGTCTATCGTCAGTTTTCTTGGCAACCCAAATGTGGTTTGGTTTCTGCCAGAGACTTCCTCTGGGAGCTGTGAGCAGCATGAACACGTGGTGACTCAGCAACCTTCTCAAACCAGAAAATATCTTTGTCTATAGGAACATATAAAGACAGTGCCTGTATGTATGCTGTCACTTAAAGGTCAGATTCTTCTCAGGCCTGATGTCGAATTAATTAGATCTATGCCCTTCTGTGGCGCTACAGATGCTTCCTATACCTAGCCTTAGGACAAGACTCTACAGAAGCATTTGGGGTGGATAAAGTTTTTGTACTTTTTTCTTCTCCTCCCAACTGCTTTGTGCCTGCCAACCTACACGCTGGCCAGCATGGATTTGGGGAGTGGAGTTAATGCTTGCATTGATAGCAGAATGTGCATTTCAAAAGCCATTGCCTGCTCTCTCACAGACATATAAAACCATTATCACAACAGAAGTAATTTTATATCTATAAGTGCAAAGGCAGCAAATAGCAATGCATATCACATTTGTAACAGATAAATCAAGGAAATGAGCTGTTTGTCTTTGCTGTCTCCCTGTGTGTCCATTCATCACTGCAAAGTAAAATGAGCGCTGCCTGACTCTTTGCCAGAAGTCCAGCAAGCATAAACGGATTCCCAACTTGAAATGCTTTTGTCCTTAATAGTTTATGAGTTTGTTCAGTTTAAGCAGTGCACCCCTCATTGCAGATACTCGTGTTCTGTTAGCTTCTGTGCTTCTAGTGATGACATGACATCAAGGAATTTACCAAGATGGTCTCCTGAGGTAGTTTTCACAGCTGGAGGTTAGGACTTCAATCTGGGTACTAGTACCAATGCTTTATACTATGCATGCAGTTTTGCATTCTGTGGTACTATTGCAGACAGTGTCTATGTCAGTGACATGACTATTTGAAACAGTAATTGGCTGTTTCTGTGTGAGAATTGTGCTGAAACTCATCTGCTTTTCCTACAGAATCCCCATAGTCCACGAATGTCGCTTCGCTCTCGAACCATCAGCAGAAATGAGCAGCCGCAGGAGACGAGCAACAATGGTAGCTTCAGAGGATTTTTGTGGCAGAATTTTTAAAAAGTCATCACTTTGAGAGGCTGACTGGGAAGACTGGAAGATTAGCTAGTTAATCTGAGAGCCCAGTTTGAAAGACTAATCTAATCTTTAACAAACAAGGATTTGTTTCAAGAGATCAGCAGTTAGGAAATTCTGTGCTGGAATTATTTTCCACCCTGGGAAGTGCATGGAAATGAAAATGGAGGGATGCATGTTCTCCAGGGGGAGGCCTAGCTGAACCCTGTTTCTGAAGCAAGCAGTTGCTCTGTGTCTGTGCAGAGCATAATAGCCTTGCATTAGTGCAAACTGCATACCAGAAATTACTTTAGACAGCTTTGCTTTATTTTGCGTTTCTAGGTTTGAATGGCGCTCTGCGGTTGCTTGCTGAAAGCAAGCAAGGTCCTGCTGTGCATAATTCATGGCAGGTTTTTTGCTATTTAGTGAACTGCTGAATCTGTTGTCTGCTTTCAAAGCTGTGATGGAAGGGATTTTTTTTTTCTGCTGGAACTTACTGTAAAACTATATTTTCTTTCAGAAAGCAACTTAAATAAGAATGGGGAGACTTGGGAACCGCCCCAGAGTGCCAGGTATGATCATAGAACCATTCTGATTGCAAGCTGCCTCTGGAGATCTGTAGCCCAGTTCAAATCAGGTTCAATGCTGAAACTTTGTTAAAGGGCTTCACTTTTGTGACTATGAGACTTTTGCAATACGTTTTCTCTGCCTCTATGAAAAGAGAATCTTCTGTCACATTAGAAATTTTTTATTGGATAGCTACTTGTGCATACACAATGGAATATCTTTTAAGATAGGGTAATTTTATGACCTTTTTTAAACCTGACTTTGAGACAATCAGGATTTGGCATGTATGATGGACTCTATCTTTTTCACAGGAGAAAGCCAAGTTACAAAAGAGCTGTGGATGAACGCTATGACAATCAGCAAGCAGAAGATGGAGGGCTTTCTCCTCTAAGAAGAAAGACCCCATCCCCTACCTTTCCAGCCAGCAAAGTAAGATCATTGTAACCCTGATGTACTTCACCAGGCCCTGTTTCTTACTCACACTCCTGAGGGCTGTTTTTGGCATTCCTTTCCTAGGTTGTACGTCCTTTCAAAACGTTTTTGCACACTGTGCAGAAGAACCAGCTCCTCATGACTCCAAGCTCTGTGGGGAGAAATGGAGTAATAAAATCTTTTATCAGGTACAACACTCCTCTCCAATCTGATCCCAAGGTAAGAAGAGGCTGTTGTGTGCTAGTACATGATGGTCTGATGAGTAAGTTAAACCACAGATGTGCAAGAAACTTCTCAACCCATATTAAACTAAGAAGTAACTTCAAGCTGTCTGCTTACACTTAAATGAACTAAAAAAAATTGTGATTAGTCAGCGTCCTAAAGAGTTCTAATTTGGACTCTAAGCTTTATTACTGTAGCATTCCCCTGTGGTATTAGCAAGTAACAGTTGGAAATGAAAACTGGGAGACAAAAATTAAGGGGATTTGGAATACTGCAGTTGAGGTGTGTATATATAACTGAAGTCTGCACATCCAAAGTCTCCTTACTAGGACTTTTCTAATGAGTGAGATCTGAGCAAATGCCTCTTAAATCCAAGCTTCTGATGTTCTGAGGTTTTTCATACCTTTGAAGCAGGAAGAAACATGAGCCTGTCCTGAATAGGAGACCGCTGGTTCAGCAAGACAAGTATGTTCGCGTCCAAATCCAGGAGGCATCAATATCAGTGTAGTATAATTGTTACGAACAGCGAAGACACCTTTGCTGTTTGCTTTTTGCTGTTTGCAGGCAGATGCCTCTACAGTGAAGTTTACAGCATCACAGGAGAAGCACCTGTATCCTGAACAGAATAGTTGTGTGGGTGGGTGGATTTGAGAAGATCTGGTTCTAGATTTCCAAAGGGAGCTGGTTTTCCCTGTGTTCTACTTACGCAGGACAGTTTGGTCATATATCATGATCATTTAATTACATGGGTTGGACTTATGTTAGGAATACTACCTGCATCACTGATGGGCAGCCCTCACTCTTACCTGATCTGCATTCAGATTTGGTATTTAGCTCAGAAGAGAAGTCAGTGTTCAAGAAAAAGCAGGTTTCAGTCTGTGCTGTAGTGCCTATTCCAGAATAGCGCTCTGACAGCGTCAGGCCAAGTGCAAAGGTGTAGCTTCACGGATGCTCCTAGGGACATGCTAGAAGCTAGCCTGCCAAGCATAGATTGCTCATACTTCTAATATCCAACAAATTGCTTGCAAAATAAAGTAGTTCTAGGGCTTGTTTTCACTTGCAGGAGAGTTGGGGAGGGAGAGGAGGGCATACTGCAAAACTGGTTTTCCTGCACCTAGCTTATATCTGGCAACCTAATATCAGAACTTCTTTCTATTGCTTAAAGCTGTCATGGTCGTACTGCTTGGAGAGTCTTGCTGCACTCCGGCAGTTGAGAGAGGTCTATGATTAGGAAGTAGCAAAGGATTCAAGCTTCATTCTCGCTCGTGTTCCTGATGATGTTAGTGTCTATATTGGCAAAGGAGCTGATATGATGAGAAAGAAAAGAGTCTTCTGACCAGCACATCTGTAGTTGCTCTTAGTTCACTGAATGTTATATTTTTGAATGTAATATTTTAGGTTTTATTCCAGTGCGGGCAACTTCCCCTCAGGACTTTTTCTGTGTGTGGGTTAAACATAACTAAATAGCACCAGAACAATAAGATATTATTGTTAGTTTTAAATTAGCCTGTTTGGACACTAACACCAATCATTTACAACATGGAGACCAGCATAAGATCTTGAATATTTCACTGTGCTTATCAATGGGTTTGTACTAAGACCAGGCCTGTTGTAATTTCAACCCATATAATTAGGCATCTGCAGTATCAAATCTGGCATTAAATTAGTTTATCTAATCTGTTTGCTGTGGCTGTAGTGATGGCTGGATCTTGCTCTTCTAATTGACAGTGTATTTAGGTTGAGTTAGCTGGACAGCTTGGGAAAATGGGACAAACGCCCTACATTTCTGTCTAGATGACATATGGGGCTGACGGTGCGCTTGAAACAAGCTGTAAGCACTCTGTCTAAATGGCGGTGGTTTGCCATGAGATAAAGCTTTGTGGGAAGCAAAGACACCAGTGGGAGCTCTGAGTTGAAGCAAGCAAGGTGTTTCCTAGAGCACCATCTGTCCCCTACGCTCGCTGCAGGAAGTCAGCATCATTGCCAGGCATTAGCATGCTTTTTTGGTTCTTTTTACCAACATAAATCACAGTGCTGTCTGTCTGCAGTCTTGGTGGAAGCTGCCTGGACTTTGGGAGCTGATGCTTCTGTTTCAACTTCACAGCTTCTTTTCTTGCTCTGTGAGATTAACACCACTGCCTTGTTTTCCATCGCATCTCTTCCCAAACACCTGTGACCACATCACAGACTACCTGAGCTCTGTTTCAGGCTTGTTACCATCCCTTGGTTCTGGCTGCAGTTCCTGGATCTTACCTCTGGGCCCTGACTTAGCCTCAGCAAATTGAGGTAGAAGGAAGCCCTGGCAGGTGGGTACAATCACATTTCAATCCACCTCAGGAAAAGGAGAGACAGAAGCTAGAGACTCTGAGGAAAAAGCAAGAAGCTGAGCAGCTGAGAAAACAAAAACTGGAGGAAGAAAAGAAACGGCGACTAGAAGAGGCAAAGCTGTGAGTATATGCTTTCTGCCTTGTCTGGACTGCCCTCTGTGTGCCTGTATGTCCCTATATCTAGGCCTTTTATCTTGCAGAGTCCACATACGCAGCAAAAATTCTTGTCAGCTTGATCTCACACCACAAAGACAGTATTTGTGCTCATAGTATCTATTTAGAATGCTCATAAAAAGTTAGCTATCCTAGCTGACTGCTTCTTCAGCTTTTCATCGTAAGTCCTCTGTCTCGGAGCTTTAAAATATTGCTAATGTTTAAATGAATGGTGTATTTGGTTCATTGACTTTCATGCTGCAGAAGAGCTGTGTCTGTTGTCCTTGTATTTGAGTTGTAAGGAGCTCACCTAGCCGGACTACAACGATAAAGTTGGGCTGTGTCCTATAGGAAGCGTGAGGAGCGCCTGCGCAAAGTGTTGCAAGCTCGCGAAAGGGCAGAGCAAATAGAGGAAGAGAGGAAAAGGCGCATTGAGCAGAAGATAGCTCTGTTTGATGAGAAGACTGAGAAGGTAAGGCCCAATATACCTACAGAGTTTATTTGGGAGAATACATAATCTATTGAGGTAGATGATGCCACATGAGTGTGCCTTCCAGAAAGAGAGGAACAGAGGCTGCTTGAAATCTAGAGAATGAACTGGAGAACAGTTGAATAAAGACCTTTCCAGAAACGTGGTGATTCTGAGTGACTGCCTTTCTCTTGCTTACAGCAAATGGCAGATGAAACCCCTTATTTTCCAGAATTATCATTCTAAACGGGCTTCATTAAGGCTCTGTTAGTCAGATGGGAGAAGAATTTCAAGTAGATAAAGCCAGCCTAATGGCCCTTAGGCTTTATTTGAAGTTGTTCTCCCATCTGACAAATAGATGAAGAGGTGAAAATAAACATACTTCCTCCAGACCCTTTCTTGTATCTGAGACTTTCAGACAACTTGCACATGTGACCATAGCACTCATTTGTTTGCTTTAATTGTCTCCATCTGCTTTTCTTATTTCATACTTCTGAAAATATATTCTGATGGCTTTTGTGGTATTAGATATATAAATACCAGAATAGGATCAGCTCTTCCTGTAGAGATGTAGAAGATGGTAATTTCTCTAAATACTACCTTTTTAAAATACAGCACAGGTCCCATTGACTCCTGGTGGCAAAAAAGGAAGCTTTTGCCCCATGAGAGCTCCCCCATGTGGGAGCTCTGCATCTTTGAGACTTACCGCTATGATATTTCACGTGCACAGAGAACTGTCCCATCTGAGACTTAGTTATTCAGCTAGCTATGTGTGTGTCTTAGGTGCGGGAAGAAAGGTTGGCAGAAGAGAAGATCAAAAAGAAAGCAGCTGCCAAGAAAATGGAAGAAGCAGAGGCCCGGCGCAGGCATGATGAAGAGGCCAGAAAACAAAAAGCACTGCAGCAGGTCTGTGCTGGAGCCCATCCTATCACACTGTGTGCAGTTAGAACGGCTTCAATCTGCCACAGTCTTTGTAAGCAAGAATCCAGCGGGAGTACTAACGTGAACCAACCGAGTGAAGATTGGTGTAGCGGAGAGGCTTTGTCCTTAAAGCTCTCTGCAATGTTGTGCTTCCTGACGCTGCTTGCAATATGCTGCAAGCTGTTAGTGGGGTTTGTGACCCACATTTCTTCTGCAGTTCTGGACAGCTTCTTACTAAAGACCTTAGTTTGTAGGTCAGCAAGTATTAAAGTATCTCTGTTAAACCTCTCTCTTGGCGATCCAGAGCATGGTGGCCATTGGGCCCTTTGGGGTACATTGTGGGCAGGGAAAGGCCAGCACTGAAGTAGCTGGAGAGATGATGCACCTACCTTGAAAGCACTGGGACTGTAGCCCCGAGTTGTTTCCCTGCTGTGTAGTGATAGGTGCTAGAGACTTGGTTCAAATAAGGTGCTCTGGCTCCTTTATTCTGGAGCCTGTTCCTGTACAGTGTAAGGTGAGTAATTGCCTTCTTGGGCTTACCAGGAGGAGGAGGAACGTCGGCACAAGGAGCTAATGCAGAAGAGGAAAGAAGAGGAGCAGGAACGTGCCAGGAGGATTGCTGAGCAGAGACAGGCAGAACAGGAGAGAGAGAAACAGCTGGCTGCAGAGAGGGAGCTGGAGAGGAAGAAGGAACAAGAGAGGATCCAGGCAGAAAAGTAAGATAATACCCATTTATGTGCTAAATTCTGTGTGGGGACTTTGAAAAGAAGCAGGAACAGAGGGCACTAGTGAAAGGCCCAAGCAATGAAGAGCTACTTTGTGCTGTCAGTGCAACTCTGGACCATCATGGGTACTGAGCTGCCAAGAGGAAATTCTGGGCTCAGTGTAGGAAGTATGGTGGGGAGTGTCCTGAAAAGCTGTGAGAAAGAGGGGATTGCAGCAGGCACTGTATTTGGGAGTAATGGTCTGTTGCTTTGGTTCTCAGGCTACGTGAACAGCAGGAGAAGGCTGCTCGCCTGCAGAAGGAAGTGTTGGCTGCTAAACAACAGCTCCACAAGGAGATGGAGAAGAAAGAAGTACGTACTCTCTTCTTGTAGATGGGTAGAGCCACGTGGATCTGACTTCAGTAGCTGTTACTGTTAGGAGCAGCTGAGCTGTGAAGCCATTGAGAACCCTGATGAGTGAGTTGTTGCACTTCTGAATTTGAGCCAGCCAAAGGTGCTCGTACCCAGAGTCTGTTCTCTGTCCGTTTCAGAAGGTATGCTTGCTCTCCTTAGATGGCAACAGTGCAAGAGGAAAGGGCAGATAGCACACGTTGAATGCAAATGAGGTTTTTGGCTTTTCCCCATTTCTGTGCCCAAGTGTATCTGTACCTGTCTTGGTATCAAACAGATATCTGGGTATCATCCCAGATTTTTCAGAAGCAACGTCTCAATTTTACATTTGTGCCACCTTCAGCAGAACCACGAGTTCAGACTGTAGACTTTGTCAGGTTATTTTCTGTAGTGGTCACGCCAGCACAGATTAACTACGCAGCTGTTGTTGCTTGTGGTATTGAAGAGGGGACTTTTGATGCCTTGGCAGTCCACGCGATTTGAAAAAAGCAACTGCAGCTGGATAGGCTCAGGTTTTTGCTTAACTCGCAGCACGCGCTTTCACAGGCAAAGAGGTAAAGCCCACAGGTGGTGTTTGGGTAGCTTTTTGGAATGTCCCTTCTGCAGGATTTGCACACAGTAGTTGCCAGGAATTGGTAGCAAAGCCTTTGCTATTTGGACTGTTCCTTTTTGGTTTATACAATATCTGGGAGAACTTGCACTTTCAAGACGGTTTGTGAGAAAGAACAGAGGGTTGGAAAAGTTGGTTGGAAATTGTCCAACATTTGCCTAAAATCATTGTCACTCCACTTAGCAGAGCTGTGGTGTTAGCACACTGACAGCAGTTGTCCAGCCACCTTCAGGGAGCTGAATTCCTCGGTGGGGATCCCTGCGCGCCTAGCAAGCCCCTCGCTCTGTCAGTTAGCTTGGTGAAGTTGGTGGATCTTTCTACAACTCTGTAGATCTCTCTGCAGCTGGTGGTAGATCTCTACAACTTGTCTGGCCGTTATGACTGGGTGGGATTTATTTCATTTGATGTTAGATGTCTGAGTTAGCAGCTTCCTGGGTTCCTTTAGATTCAGTAGGAAAAACTAAGCACGCATAGGGTGATATTCTTTTAACCTGTTTGAGATGGTTACTGTATAATGGGATAACTTGGCCTCTAAAAATACTGTTCATTAGTCTAAAAAGAGGCTAAGCTCAGACTTTTCCATCTGTAGATGTTCAGCTGGTCTCTGTTTATATCCTGAAGATAAAGTTGGGAGCAAGTTTTTCAAAGCATGAGGTCATTGCATTATCAGAGGAAGGCAGCTAATGCTCTTAAATGGGAAGGTCAATTTGTTTGTGCCACTTTGAGGAAAGCTCAAACTGTTGCATTGCATTTGCTCACTGTCTGCACTGTGTTTAACGTGCTCCTTAGCATTGCAAGCAGCAAGGACTTGCAACTAGATGCTTAGATATTTTTCTTGCATATCAAAAAAATGGATCCCTGAATTAAGGATAAACCCAGTGTAGCTTAGTTCATAAGATTAATTGATTTGTGATGTTGGCTTGCCAGCAGGAGGAGCAGAGGCTAGCAGAGATGAAGAGGCAGGAGCAAGAACAGAAGAAACTGCCAGAGGAAAAAAAGGCTAAAGATATAGCCCAAACACAGCACCTAGAAAACGAAGAGGTAATTCTGCTCTCTCTGGTGAAGCTTCTTTAAGGGATGACATCAGAGAACTTTGATTCCAGCACTGACATGCTGTTGCAATGGGCAGTTTTACCCTCTGCTTTTTATATTCCCTTTCAATAATGAAGGGATTCTGTAAACTTTTTTCCCGGTTATCTGAGGTTGACTCCTGGTAGCCTTGTGTATTTAAATGACTTTTGTGGAGTGAAAAGGAAGTAAAAGGGAAGCAGCAAGTATTTGCCAGAGTTTTCTTGTTGTCAGGATAAGGAGTGGCTGTTAAAGCTGCCTTGCTTTTCTAAGCTCCTCTTTAAATACTGGATGAACGTCACGGGCAGAAGAGATGCTGCAATAGTTATTTAAGTTCAAAGTTGGAAACGGCCACGGGATGGCGGCAGAGCCTGTGGAATAGTATTGCATTTGGGCCTCGCCACTGCTGGAACTTGAGAAAAACCTGCAGGTGAATGTACGTGTCTTGAACATTGAAAACAAATACTCTATCTCTTTGTACAGTTACATATTTTAATCTTTAAATGCAAAACCAGTGAAATATGAGTTAATGGACACAAAGCTATGAAGGCAGCCTCTTACAGGGAAGAAAAACTGTTTTCAACTCCCTAGAAGTATGCTTCATGGCTGGTGAAATTTGCAGTTTTAAGTTTTTCTTCATCATTTGCAGTTCTCAGTCATGCGTTCCTAATAAAAATCACAAGAGTTTGTCCTGAGCTGGACATGGTAATATGGTAATAATCAGTTTAATATTATTAAACAAGCCCAGGGGTTTGGTTGCAGACTACTTAAAGCACATTACTTGTCTCCAGCTTTGAGGATGGAACAGCTCCATTTAAACCTTCCTTGAAATGAATGGAGCTGCCGTATGTATTAGATGCATCTGTTGCTGGCTTGTTCATGTCATACGCAGCCAATTAAGCAGCCTAATTAAACAGGAGAAGGCAATGCAAAGTCATAATTGGGTCAAAACTTTAGAACTTGGGTCAAAACTTTAGGACTGCCGAACTTCAGGTTTTTCAATTACGCAATGAAAGCAAAAGGTGGATACTGAGGTATTCTAGTCGACAAGCGTCTCGCTGCAACTCGGGAGGGTAGCAGTGCTATTGCATCTCACGCCTCTGGAATGCATTTGTCTTCTAGAATTCACCTGTCTGCAATTCATACCAGATGACTCCACAGGCCCAGAAAGATCCAAAGCCCCTCACCACAAGTCCAAACAACTACGGGATGGATCTGAACAGCGATGACTCTACTGATGACGAAAGCCAGCCTCGCAAGCCCATTCCGGCTTGGGCCACTGGTATGTGTTAGCAGGTCGATATCTGTCCCGAGATCCCCAACAAACCCTCCTGCAGCTTTGCTCCGACGGATAGTAAGACCTGGCGTAAGATGTCGCCCAGTTCCTCCTACTTGCACGCCGTAGTTAAAAGCACTCATCTCCAGCAGCGTGGCTGGAGTGCCGAGGCAAGTGCTGCTCTACCACTTGGGGATCTTCTTGCGACAATGCTGGGGGAACATATATGCTTTTAAACTGCCGCGAGCTGCTAGTGTCATTTTGCCAATGTGAAATAAATAATTATGAACTAGCGCATTGGCCTTGAGCCTGCTTGACATTGATTTGGCTTTAAAAACCAAAGTAATGCCAGATGTCAGAGACCAGGTTTCAGACTGGCTGTTGTTCTGGCTCTGAAATACTCAGTTCCATGATTTCATAGTCCACCTGCCCCAGGGGAGCTAAGAAGTTGCAGGGAAGCGAATAGTATCTGCAGGAAGAAAAGCTGAGAAACCTTGACTCTTGCAAACTTATTCTAGTTCCTGGTCAGAATTCAGTGCAAGCAATTGCCTTCCTGGTGATCTATGGTGAATTTTTGGGCTTAAACGGGGTGCTTTAAAACAGCAAATACTGCAGGATTTCTCCCGTTTGCAATCTCGGTATGAGTAGAGATGAGGAGAGCGGGAACACATTGCATATAAACAGCCTACACAGCAATTTAAATTAAAATAAATTAATGAAAATTTAATCTTTTGTTTCTCTAGGGAATCAGCTTAGCCAAGCTGTAATCCGCCAGTACTACAACCCTCCGAACATTGACGCAGTCTTTGGGGTGATCGCAAGCCCCAAGCTGGAGGACATCTTTTACAAAAGCAAACCGCGCTACTTCAAGCGCACAAGCTCTGCTGTGTGGAGTTCCCCGCCGTTTGCAGGAGCCAAATCGGTTCTGGGTCTGCCATACAGCCTGAAAAAGTACTGAGGTGGGCAGTGGCTGTTTCTTGTGGAGCAGTGTGTATGCATTTCTGTCTCTCTAGGTAAGAAAAGAGTTACTGCTCAGTATCTCTAAATCTTTAGGTATTAGCATTGAATAAATGTCAGCTTTTACTGGGCCTCTTGCATTTTCTGTTTTGGGGGCTTATTTTCTCACTGTTAGGCAAAACGGCAAGCTTTTGGGAGCTACTCCTCAGAAAGATGCACCTCCTTTTACCCTTAGCTTTAAGCTGGTGAAGATTTAGACCTTTAGGTCACGAGAGTGCATCACCTAAAGCCGTATGATCCCCCCCTCTTCAGCCAAGCAGGCCTGGTAGTAGCTGCCAGCAGTAGACAAAAGTTGGGTGTCTGTGCTGACCCTGCCTACCTGGTGGCTGAAGGCAGAGGACTTGTACAGCGAAGGACCACTGTGTACATCTTGGGTAAAATCCACAGATGTGCTACTGATGTTCTCCAGAAGCAAGATATTAGCAGGTGTGGCCTTCATCAGCTCCTGCAAATTGCAAAATGATTCCATTGTTTCATTTTTCAGCAATGTGCCTTATGCCAACACCAAATGCAATTATGTGCATAAGCTAGATTGATACTGATGTTACTACAGCTCAGGCTGAAATACCCTGAGGATTTTACTGACCTTTTTTCAGGTGCTGGAGGGAGATGTGACCCTCAGTGTAGTGTCTCCAGGAATACCCAGAGTACCGTAGCCAGGCTTTGTTGTTCTAGGCTGCGTTAAGAGAAATTGTACAAAGGTTCAGATTGAACTTTGTCTCTCTAATTTAAATTCCATGTCTGTGGCACAGATTGAATTGAAAGAATGGGTTTGACCTTAATCCCTATCCTTCTCTTTTCTCCCCTTGGCTGTTTCATTTGTTCAGTGTCAAAGCTGGGTTTATTTCTAGGCCTGTTTTGAACTTCATATTCAATAAGACTGTGTCAAATGGACTGTTACCGAAACAATTTCCTCTTAACAGCAAAATATCAGCTCAGAATTTCAGTTCCAAGAGCACTTGGTGTTTTAGTCATTCTTTCTACAGCTAACTTGCAAATGGCACGGACACTTGTGTTGTCTCTGTAACACAGAGAGTTGTCTCTGTACAGAGAGAGCGGAGGTCTCAGTAGAGCAGTACTTACTGGAAGATCTTAAGGGGAACAGTTACATTAGTTTCTGTAGGTTGTTGTGGAAGTCTGTCTTCTGCAAATTAGGCAGCCTACGTGGTTCTTACCTCAGATTCATCTTTTTCTTGTGGCTTGATTTTGTTTCAAAGATGGGCGAGCCTTCATGGTTGCAATTTCAGTAAGCAAAAGACTGAAGAACACTGCTTCCATGTACATACCACTTGGTCCTTTAAAAGACCGACAAACACTGTATGGAGATTATGCAATGTGCAAGGAGACTTCGACCTTTCCTTGTGCATACAGTTAATGAACTGTTTGCAAGAAAATGTCTTTAAAATGATGTGGGGTTTTATATTTAAATACATCAACTGCTAGATGCTCTGCTATTGATCAGTGTTTCTGTTTGCGAGATGATTGTCCTTTGATAGATGCTTTGTAGATTGAGTTTTGTATCTTAGAATGAATGTAATCTTGTAATCTTTTTGTAAGAAAGCTTGCAAAAACTTTGAAGTTGAATGGTATTTGAATATCTTTCATATTCAGTTTGATAAAAGTGAGCTAATAATCTCTTCTGGAGTCATCATAGCTTTTTATTAGAAAAATCTACAGTATTTTGGAATCTGTCCTTTAGGGTTGCTTTTTGCAGTGTTTCCTTAAGATGTCTTAAGGAAATATTCCTTAAGATCCTTAAGGAGTCCTTAAGATATCCAAAGAATGTTCTTGTCTAGGAAGAACTTTGTAAGTCCTGTTACAGTGGAAAATATTTGTGCTTTGGTAACCCTGCAGAATTTGCTGACTAGTTTTATTTTCTTCTTTTGTTTCTGGAAATTGGAAGAAGGACAGTTTGGCATGAGGGATAGGTTCACAGAAATCTTTGCTAAGGAATACATGACTTGAATTCATCTTGAACTAACCTGCCTCCCTGTAATCCACTACTTGTATAACTTCAGAAAATATTCAGAATTGCTGCCACCAGATGGAGCAGGAACTTCAGTCAGTATACAACTGGAGCACTGGTATTTAAAAACACGCCCCACCCCACCCCCTCCCAAGTAGAAATCCCAGGAAATTACAACCTCAAGATTTTAAGATATTTTCATTCTTGGTTCAAGGTGTTTCTCTTCATTGTTATTCCTGCTTGCTCAGGCAGCCTTTCCTGAGCTCTAAATGCGTGCCTCGGAGCTAAGCTGTCCCCGCCCAGCTTTGTTTAGAACAATTAAAAAAACCACCCCACTCCCCCAAAAACCCCCCCCCCCCCCCCCCCCCCGGGCCTTTTCTTACCAGGCCTTCTCAGTAGTATGTGATCAGGACTCGGAACGTGAACCAGGGCCTCTCAACACATCCTCAGGATCACTGGCATCTCAAAGCATTTCCTCTAGGTCTGTTTTCAGGTGGGATACTCATCCTATTTGGGTTCAGAGGTGCTGAAAATCCAGCAGGAAAAGCTAGCTGCAAGTAAATGGAACTATTAGAAATCACTTTTAAGCACGTGTGAGAGCTTGGCCTCCCAGCCATCAGCCTTGCCGAGGTGCAGTTCCTGTTGCCTCTGCTTATTTACACTTATGACTTACTCTTGGCATTCCCTTTCCTACATTAAACATTTGAGAATCCTTTGTCCTTTGAATGAAAGTAAATCTAGCATGTGTGGCTGTTCCGCACCTGGAGCATAGCGACTGTTCTTTGTGGCTAATGCCCTTCTCGGGCCTCCTTCCTCGGGCACGTGGCTGTGGGCGAGGAGAGCCGCTGGCTCAGTGCCGACCCCTTGGCTGGCAGCCGGAGGAACGTGAAAAGGTTGCAGCGGTGGCTGGAAACCGGCCCAGCGCAGGAGGGTTTGAGGGCGCTGGAGCCACGCTGGCAGCTGCCTGGGCGTAAAACAGGCGAAGCGCGCAGACCGTGGGCAGAGAGAGCGTTGCCCCAGGGCTGCATCCCTCAAGGGGGCTGGCAGCGGTCTGGGGAGAGGACTTGCCACGCCACGAAGACCTGAATGCGGGTCCCTTTCTTCCCCCTGCTGAAATGACAGTGGGAGGAAACTGCATGCCCTGGGGAAACCGGCTTCTCATGTCTGCCTGTAACTTCCCAAGAGCGCTTTCTCCACCCCACCTGCCCGGTCTCTGTGGCACTTGTTTGCACTGCACGAAGCACTGACTCTGGGAACAGCAAACAAATGAACAATCCCCCTGTGCCAGGTCAAGCTGAATGCTGCTACTTCTTGCCTTGAGAACACCGTGTTTACTGAGCCTTTTTCTGTGCACCTTTAGCCTGAAATGCTCACTGGTACGGCGGTTGTAGGTCTTTGCTTGTGTCCTGTGGGGAGGGTAAGCTGTGAGTTCTCGTGAAGGGCTCTGGCTCCAGGGTTACCTTCTAGGTGCAGCCTCAAGCCCACAACTAACGTCGTTCTCTTGACAAGAATGGTTGCAAGGAGCCAGTCTCACCAAGAAAAGCGATCTGCAAAGTCCTTTTTTTTTTTGCACAGATTAGCACTTGAAAGTCCAGGATGCTGATGTCCTGCTGAAGGATCACAGCAGGTCTTTCTGAAGCCAAATAGCGTGACCCGATTCCCGATCTCTGCCAGTTTGGCCCAGTTATTTTCACAAAATGCTGCTCTGATGACAGGAACTGCCTGAGATCAGATCAGACAATTGCCAAAACCAAGCACCCCATTTACGTAGACTGCCCATCACTCCTGCTACTAACAGAAGCGATAGAACATCGGACCTATGGGATCGACGACTTCACCAGCTCAAAGAAAGTGAAGGGTATGTCCATGTACTCCTCGTCCTACCACAGAATCGGTCAAACAATAAACCTGTTTATTAAAAGCAGGATGCAGTTCTTGCCGTATGAGCAGAACCGAACACTATTCTGTCTGTTCCAGGAACATAAAAAATGGTGGTGGTTGTTCTTCTTGCTTTGCTGTGAACCAAAACTAAATGTTTCTTCTCTGAAATCAAAAGTAAAAATCTGAGTATGGACAATTCAGTGGAAAGGAACAGATAAAAGACCTATTTTTGAAAATACTGGGAATTGAATTGGGAATCAGGTCGTATAGGACCCTGCATGCACTGAGAAGTACAGAACACGTGCATATCATATGTGGACGCCTTCAATTTACTTATACCTTCTCCTTCCTTCTCATCCAGGTGAGGATACTTCTAACACCTGGAATTTCTATTTTGTATCTTTTTTTTCTATGTTTTTTTTTCCTGGGGAGGGAGAGTTGGGCCTGGTGTTTGTACGCAGAATTTGCTGCCGGGGGCTCTCTGTTAGTGAGGTTTAGGAAAACCTCTGTGGTGCCGCTTTTGGGAGTCTGCCCTTGCAAATCGAGGCGAGAGGCCTGTCCCCAGGGTGCAGAAGAAACCGGGCAGGCTCTCCTGTCCGTGCTTTCCAGGTCGTGCAAGAAGAGCCGATACCGGCTGCAGACCAGAAGCATGTTCAGATTTCTCCCCGAGAAGCCAAATGCCCTATTTTCCATGTGTTTCTCGTACGGATTAGTCGTGAGCAGGCACAGAAGGGTTTCTGTGCTGGGCCTGGCTGGGAGACAGGTAATTTTTTTCATGGCAGCCGGCATGGTGCTGTCTCGAGGGCTGCCGGCACACCGCTGTTCAGCTGGTGCTGACAGTGCTTGCACAGCACCGCGGCCCCCTCCGTCCCTCCCTGCGGCCGCCACGAGCAGGCTGGGGGCGGGCAGGGGACGCAGCCGGGACAGCTGCCCCGCGCTGACCGAAGGGGTACCGTGGCCCATGCCACGCAG